AAAAAAAAAAAAAAAAAAAAAAAAAAAAAAAAAAAAAAAAAAAAAAAAAAAAAAGTAGTAGCAGTAGTTGTTGTTGTTGTTATTGTTGTTGTTGTTATCGTGAAAGGAAGCCCCTTGAGGTCCATACGTTACCTGAAAAATCCACCATAGATTTTTAAGAATCCTGGGTACTTATCCTATTGAAAAAGCCTGAAATAAAATCTTGATATTCCTTCATGGTATTTAAATAGTACATACACTTTGTTTTAATCGCTTAATTTTAGATTTATTTTTTTAAATTGTAAAAAAAGTATTTTTTCTAATAATCAGAACCTTTTATGTTAATTGTATGAAATTATGTTTAAAAAGCAATATTATTAAAAAATTAAAGAACGCATAACAATGCAACTTACAAAAACTTTCAAGAAAATACTATCGTGGAAGGTTGCATAATTCCTGCGAATAGTATAAAATCATCATTTATAGTTTTCTGTCATACATACTTTTTAATAAAATACGCAAATATTTAATTTCTTCATCAACATTTAAAATTATTTTTTTAATATTCCTTTAAAACTTGTATTTTTTGAATCATTTTCGTATTCTTGTTTAATCATCATGGGTATCTGCTAATGTTGCAACCTCTTTCTAACATTTTTATGTAAGGATTTTCTTTTTTTAAAGTAAACTGTTGTATCTTCATTATTGCTGTCTTCAGAAAAAAGTTTGGTTACAATTTTTTCTTTAAAATCGTGTTTTCGAAAGGGCTTTGTTTCAGTTATTGTTGAAATATGAGCTTCCTTTGATTTTGGTAGTTCCAGATCGACTCTAGACACTTTTCTGAAAAAAATTTAAGATTATATGAAAATCTCATGAATTGATACAATACTTTTTAATAAATAAAGATTATATACAGAATCAAATAAGAATACAATGCAGAAATACAAAATTGAGAATATGGATAGAATTATTTATAATAAATCATTTACATGCCTTATAACTTTTAATTATTCATCTTGATTTAGAGTATATTTCTATGACAGTAATTATTAAATTCAATAACTAGTCTTTTTTCTTCTCTCTTACTCCTTATATATTTAATTTAAGTTTGATAACTGAAAAGCCAAGTATTAAGTTGTAATTTTTAAAGTGTTTTTACAAAGAACAAACATAAAATATTTGTTACGTAAAAAATAATATCTAGTACATACACTTTACACAGGGTAGCTGCATCAAGCATTCGCAGCAACAATAAAAAATTCTTAATCCTTAACCTGCATACTACTACTAGTGCGACATATAGTGAATTTCGGATCTTAATAATAAAAATATGACGATATCTCCTAAATTCCAAAAGTTGACAAGCTGAGAATGTAAGTACAGAAAATAGCATGGAATAAATAAGATACGTTAATTAGAAAATTTTTTTTATCTATTTATAATTTACAGTGAAGCATATTTTTTTTTACAGCGCAACACATTCTTGATTCTACATTTCCACAGCACTGTGTCAGTTGGAATTTGAAAAAGAATAAAGCCATGATAAAACCAACCAATGCCAATTCAACAGTCAGAGCCTCTTTCTATTACCATCAAAAATTTTTACGTATTATTAATTTTCTGTTATTATTTAAATATAGGTAAGATAGGAATTAGTACAGTGAAATCGTGATATAGTCACACAGCTATATTTAGCTTCGAAAGAAGATCAAACTCTAATTATTGAAGTGTGTGATTAAAGATTTGTCACCTCACCATTAGGAACCTTCTAAAACCATCAAGAATGCGTACTGTCCATTACCTAAAATTTTTATGACTTTAATACTCTTCTGAGTTATGAAAAAGACAGAACAATTCCAGTACTCCAGTACAAGGTAGTTGAATTTTTTGCACTGCTCTATTTTTTAATTTCAAGTTGCTTATTCTCTATCAAAAACCCTATCTTTAGGTGGTAATATTGTTTGCGAATTGGCTCAAACGAATCAGTAAAATTTTAATGTGTTTTGGTGTCTAAGATGTGGGTACTGGTTTAAATAGCCAGGCAATAGTATAATTTCTGGTAAGTGGAGCTTATCATGGATCTGCTGAAACGTCAAACAAAATTTTTAATTTTTTCCCTGATGGCATGAACTCATTGTTGCAAGTTCTACTGACGATTTAAACAGAAGTTATTTATCAGAATAACGCTGTACACTTTCCAGTCTCTGGTTTAACGGTAGCTTACTATGAAATAAAATAAAACCATATTTGAAGGAGTACCTGTTGTTTAACAGTTGGAGTAAAAAATAAGAATAAATAATAGTTGAACCAAATAATGTACTAATAAGACTTAATCACTAAAATTGATAATTAAACTGCTTAATTCAAACAACTTAAATAAATGTAATTATAATGCTTCAAACTAGTAATCTCAAACTTCATATAGCTCCTCAAGCTTTGAAAGTAATAGTTTCCAGCTAGCTATGTGTCAATATATTTGACGTTCCTTGAAGCAATCAATACAGTTATGCACTATTATGATATTTGTTCATTATCTCTTCGTCTCAATGAAAGCTTAAAGTTACCTAAACCTTGTAGCGTACGTGCCAAAGACTCTGAAGAAAATAAATTAGCATGAGTCCTTAAGTACTAAAAGGTGTTGTAGAAAAAAATTAAGAAGCTGCTTAACATTTCCAAATGAATAAAAATCGCGTATTCTAAAGCAACGATGCATTTACACTTCACAAGATATTAAAAATAAACAATTTGTACTTAAAACAACACTAAACTTCGTATTTCAAATGTTTTGTGGTATAAACAGAATTTCTAATTATAATTTAACGCATTTCTTCAGATGGATCTTAAAAAGTACTTTAAAAGTTAGTCCCCACAGATACATATTTTATTCTAAAGTCAATAGCTTCACTTTTATATCTCAACTTTATAAAAAACTGAGAGTATATACATTTATCCCCAACTACGTGAATGAATCATACCTTAAGGCTTTAGATCATTAATATATGCATCAAAATCGGTCTGATTAAATCTTTATAATGTAAAAAAGTATTTTAAATTAAGAAACAATGGACAGGAAAATAATATGATTGTTGTGACAGTCAAATGTGTAAATGTATGAACATTAATACAACAGTTGCAAATCAGCCACTATGTCTCGGTTTTTTTTTTTTTTTTTTTTCGTATGTTAAGATTAGCAAGGGTTGTGGTCAGGTAAGTAATTTAAAAAGTTTTTGATTTTCTAGACTTGCATAAGCTATGGCATGTGAATGATTTAAAATTACAAGTAAAACCAAAAAAATTCTATAAAACGTTTCACTTATAGATGGTAAACAATTCTGAATTTAACGTTGACGTTTGACGTTGTAGGAATAAATATAAAGGTCATGTTAAACTGCAAAGAAAAGTTTAATACAGTTCAGAAATATTTTTTCACCAAAAATGTTATGAATAGTATAAAAGATTACACCAAATATCTGAAAAATTCTGGCGGATACTTATAGTGTTAGCTTGCATTGCTAGCGCTCTATTAGTAACTTATAGTAGAATTTACCTGCAGTATCATACATACTCTCAAGTAACTTATGGAGCTATTATTGGTGCCATTGTAGGCATTGCTTGGTTCATTTTTGTTCATAATATTTTGACACCAATCTTTCCTGTGATTTTGACGTGGTAATTATTTTTTTTCCGTAAACATATTTTACTAGAATCAATTTTTCATCTTGAAAGTTTTAAATATACTTATAATTTGTATTTATTCTTATATTACAGGAAATTGTCCGAGTATTTACTTATACGTGATACAACACTCATACCTAATATTTTATGGTTCGAGTATACACATGTGAGATCAGAAGCAAGAACCCGTCGAAAACTTGTGTCAATGAAATCGCAATAACGTCCTCACAGTAAGCAAAAAGACTGAGAACAAGAGTACGTCTGAATGTTTTTACTATTTTTTACAATTTACCTAGCAAAACAACGATTTGAAAATTATAATCGAATATTATTGGACTGTAGCGTGAATGCAGTATATACTCGATTTAACTGCGTTTTATAAGATGAACGAACAGTAATGTAAGAACGAAAAAAATTAGGTAAATAATCGAAGCACAAACATAAATAATCAATTTAGAAAAACTTTTTTAACGTTTTTAAGCAATTTCCAGTACTGAGGTCATGATGAGATCAAGATCCAGTATTTATTATTGACTGCAAAAGTGTAAATTTAGTTTATTATAAAACTATGTAATTTACACGAGTTTCCAATGGCCTAAATAATTACTTATAATAAGAGAAACCTGTATTTGTGCAAATTAAGTCTTTTAAGTGGTTTGACATATGATTTTTTACTCTAATAAAATGCATGTCGATATTACCCATGTAGTATATTTGTAAAGAAGCGCAATAAAATGAGATTTTTTTCGTGTAAGAAGTATTCATAGATTTTTATTTTTAAGCAAACTATTGATATTTAATGATGTTTTAATATTCTGTTCCATAATGTTAGGCAAAAGTTTTATGAAACTAATTTAAAAAAAAAAATTTTTTTAAGTATGTTAATTAAAAGTTGTAAATATCATGTTTTTACAATTTTTGTAATAGTTACATCACAAAACAAAGTAAGACTTGTGTAACTGAAAATTTTTCAACATTAAACTACCTATCTTAACAAATATCTTAATTGAATATTAATATTGAATGATAAAAATAGTCAATAAATATTTTACATATGTACACTTGTATTTTTACTGTTCCGAATAAATTACTGATAAACTCCAATAACTATATGTTTAGTGTAACGTACGATAATCCGACTAAACCATAATTAATACCATAATAATAAAAAACCGACTAATCAATAGTTTTTTATAACCTTTACCAATTTTATTAAAAAGATGTATTCCAATAAATAATATAAAAATCATAATTGGTTGCCATAGTGCCTATTACGTATTGTTTAGGGTTCGATGTATCCTATAGATTTGTTCCTTCAATCCAGCTCGGGGAGGCTCGGACTGACGGAGTGTGCTCCAAAATCTATAGTAAATGTTTTGAACCCATTGCATTGATTATACATATTGGAAGCACTCCAAGCGTGGATAAATGAAATGATGAACAGTAGTACCCAACTAACTGAACTAACCCATACTACCTACATATTTTGTTTTTGCCTTTGCCGTGCAGCCGTGTGGTACTCTTACTTGTAATAGAAGTAGGTAATGTGTAAGTTAGAAGTTACTCACTTTCGAGACTTTCACCAACTGTTATTGTTTCCATATATTTATTTGGGTTAAAAACAACTGTCCCAAATATCCTCCATACATTTTATTTTTCGTAACCGAGTCTTTCCACCATTATTTTTTCGTTTTTTAAAGCAAATACTTACCTATCTCTTGTGCACTTGGGCGTGTTTTTTTGCTCGCTATCTTACCAGTATATCGCTGTGCCTGGTATTTATACATATGGATTTTGATGGAGAGAATCGTCTATTTCGAGACTGACCAAAAACACTAAAGACGTCAGTTTGGTGAATCACGAGATCAGAAAGTTTTCAGTCACGAAGATGGGCGGTCCAATGTCAGGTTAGCTTCTGTAACTAGGTTCCTAAAATAACTTTATTTTCAATTATTAATTCAATTTCTATTTTTAAATGTATGCTCCACTTATCATTTTGAGCTCATTTTTTCCAGTAATTCTACAGTGCTATGATACATATTTCTAGTGAGCCTTTACTCTATGGACCTTCAAATTCTAACTTTTTTCAATGATGGGTTTTTTACAGCATATTGGGTTAAATTCTTCAAAAATGCAGGCTTCTCATCAGAAGTTGCTGCAAAGCACGCGGTTGTCTTCTCTAACAACAGGATACAACCAGACATGCTACCGGATTTGGATAAACCAAGTCTCAAGGACATGGGCATAACTTTGATGGGTGATATGATAGCTATACTCAGGTATGCTAAAAAAGTTGTGGAAGAGACCTCTTGCGAAAGGATTATGGTGAGCACGGAAGTTTCACCCACTGTAGCCACCAATAAAACCAGCAACAACAAAACTGTTGGCAGTAAAAATACTTCCACAGTAAAAATGGTTAATACAAAAGTACCAGTTAAGTCATCCATGGTAACGAAAATCAAGTATGAGCCTCCTAAAAAAGTTATTAAATCAGCTCCAAGTGTATCTTTGAAGCCAGTTGCTCAAGTGAAAAAAATTGTCCCAGTCGCGCAATCTTCAAGAATGTATTCAGATTACATTGATATTCCAAAACCAAGACAAAAAAGTGTTTCTCTGAAAAGAAAGTATGACAGTGAAGAGGAAGAAGAAGGCATTGACGGAAAGTGGGTTCACAATGAGACGATCAAACGCCTCAAGAATAATGTTGACAGTGTTGAGTGCAAGATGCCAGTGTCTAAAAGGCCTACTGTAATTAAGAGTCAGAAAATTCTTAAAAAAGCCTTGGAACAAAAGAGAACAGTCTTCAACAGATTGGGAGATAGTATGGTATCAAGCACTACTAATATAGAATTTTCTAATCCTAAAGTTGGTCCCACATTTACTGTAACTGGTGTTGGAAAAGATGTGTATACAAGGAATTTGAGTGTATTTAATCGTCTCGGAAATAAAGATAACTCGGAAATTATGTAAGCCAAGTTTTATAACGATGTCAGTCATAAACATAGAAAACTCAAAATCATTACTAACTACTTCATTTTTCACAGGATGGACAGAAACATGAGAAATGGAAATGCTTTGAATACAACTCATGGTATTTTGAAAACACGTACACCATTACTTGGTACTAAAGTAATTGCTACTCATCCTGGGATTAAGAAAATTGGTACTATGAGAGCTGATGAAGAAGCTAATAAAAAAACTGCCTTTGAAAGAGTCAAGTCGAACTTTAAAGCCTTAAAAATCAATACATCCGTTCGAAACAATACAGTCCGAAGTAACTCTGTTAGAGGAAATCCTATTGGAAGGAAATCTATATCTGGAAAATTAGGTACTACTTATAATAATATTAATTGCGTCAATTTGTCGTCAAATCTTTTTATTATGAAACTTCGATTTCAGCTTCAGATTCGATAGCATTATCAGCTAAATCAAGGCTTGGTGGTTCAAAACAAGTAACATTTAACAAAATGGCAATGATTAATCATGCCAGAAAGCAAGGAGTTTTTAGTAGATTGGGAGTTTAATTATTAAACTGACGCTTTGTAATATTGTACATACCATGAAAATTTCATTACTAATCAACCAGCTTGCATACTTAATTTTTATTTTTTATTGCTTTTACTTACAGTAAAAATGACGAGTTTGAAAAAAAAGTCTTGAAACTTATTTATGTACCTATTAAACTGAATTTAAATGCACGACTGGCTTAATGATATGTTTACCTACAAAAGTTCCTACATTTAATTTTGAGTGATATTATGTGTATGCAACTACATAGTAGTAATTATGAAACAAGAAACAAGTCAATTGTGTAGCCCATCTTTCTTTATTTATTACAAAAGTGAAATGAACTACTTTTTAATTACATTTTTCCAACATATTTTTTTTTTAGCATAATTCAACAATGTTGAGACATTGAAAAAAATTGTTGGGATTAACTTGTATAAAATTCACGTGAAAATGCACCTTATTTGTCAATTCTTTTTCCGTACATGTTCTGGTAGATGCATATGCACAGGATCTCAAAGTTTTCATAACAAATTCGATATCACTCTTCCAAGACCTGTGAAAATACTAAAAAATGCAGAATATTAAATTAAAGCCGGAAACTTTTCAACTTTTTCAAGCTTACAAACAGTATACACTCCTGTCAATCATCATTTATGTCCCCTACACTCTTATACATTGTTTTAAAAAACGTTTATTTAAGCATAATAAAATATGTTGGAACATTATACAACAACTTTAATGGAGGGAGTTAATGAAATCAGAAGTGTCTAAGTTTGTATATTAAGTTAACTTTTTGTAAAAATATTTCACCTTTTCAGATCTAAGGCAAAAAAGGCTTTGACAGATTTAAACATCCTCATGATTAAAATTATCATAGTCTTAAGATCGGTCAGCAGCAAGTGTATGTATTACTAATAGCTCCGAGAAACTCAAAAAGGCTCTTCAAGTCAGCTGAAACTGAAATTAACTTATAAAAACTTTAGCAGAGCCATTTTTTGACCCAAATCGGGCCACTAGAACATACTTACAACATTTATTGTTGAAAAAAAAGTTAAAAATTTTTTTTTACATATTTTGTAGTGTGGCAATTCAAGTATCATGTTACTGTGCAAAATTTAATTCGATATTTTTATACTTAACCTGTTGCAGAAAAATAATACTGAATAGGCAGGCAATAGTTTCTCTATGAAAATCCACGTCTACTGAAAATACATTACTAGATCATTGATACTGATTTGAAAAGATCACATCTATGTAACTAGATTTTTGCGTCCAATTACACAATTGTGATGGTGAAAATGAGAAATTTATTTATTTATTTAAAGAAATGCCAATAAATGGACAAAATAATCGTGATTTTTTAATTCAATGATTATTTTATGATTGCCGGTGCCCACCTTTTACTTTAACATTTTCTTGTAAACATGAAAGTACTTTTACAGCCTTGGAAGAGTTTTACAATGATAGATCTTAGATTTCAAAATTTTTACAAACAAGCTTGGGTGTATTATAACATTTTATAAAAAAAAAATTAACAAATAATGAAGGAATAAAAACAAAATAGTCAATATTACTTCTCTCAAATATTCAACTATAATGAATTTAATTGAAGGAAATATTTAATTTTTTTTATCACAAAATATATCCAAATATCAACTATTAATTTCATTAATCTTTACTTGTTTGTTTTTAAGTTATTTAAAAACGAGATACTTTGNAAAAGAAAATATCGCGATCCTTACGATTATCAAAGCTGTTGTTAACTTTACCGTTCCAATATACAGACCCGTATGAAATATCTTTTTAAATAAATAATGCTTATGTAAATCTATGATTATAAGTGTGTATGAGTCGCTCTTGAAGTCAGTACGATCTTTGGGCAAGAACAATTGCTCTAGACCATGTCAATGTATATACATGCGTTTTTTTTTTTTTATAAGCTGCTTTAAAACCGATGCAGATTTGTCAGTCAAGTAATGTAAAGTATTATTTTGAAAATTCTTCATACTTCAATTTCATGCAATTTCAGATTCCTCAACTTTGGTTAAGCTTTTTTTGTAACATATGTGACAATACTCCAATGAAACTCTACAAGAGTTGACGTGGAGACAAATACCCGTAGGAGGATTGAGCGTGTTAAAGAGAGTTTTGTTAAACCTAGACGTCTCGTCGATGCCCAAAAGGTCATCAATCTCGTCCGTTGAGAGCTTTGGAATTTTCGCATCAATGTTATTAAAAAACTCATCTACATCATTATTACTCTGATCGTGTACCTGCATATCCGTGGAGGAGTTTGGTAGATTATCCATGTTATTGAATAAAAAGTTATCAACGTTAATATTTGAAAGCGCATGTAGATCCGTTTCGGATAGACTAGCTTCGCAGTGATCCACAGAATTTGACTGCGCTTCGCTCAGCGGCGTCGTGGGCATCTGATTAATACTCCAGCTGCCAGGGCCCACCGTACTCGTATTCATTACGTTATACTTACAATAGGAATGCGACTCTGGCAACTGTTCGAGTTTATGTGTGTCTTCGTCTAGGAATAAGCTCTCGACGCTCGATGGTTCCTCAGTCTTTGTTGTGGGAGACAGACTTGACGATACCCCTGAAGCTGCGTTTGTAAGAGGCATCGTTTTTCGAGCAATTTGTCCAAAACCTTGCATTCCGGATAGAGGCACAGGTTGATTATTATTACTTACATTCGATGCAAAACTTTGATTACTGAAAAAGAAAAAACAGAAAAAAATGTTGTTTCAACTAATACTTAAATTTTTCTCTCGCACAAGAATGCTACATAAATATTTTTCTTTCCAAGTCACAAGAACAACAATTCTTTAGTACTTCCTTAAAAGTAGTAAACAATGAGGAAACGATATTATCGTTTTAAATGTTTTTTCACTGTTGGACAAAAAAGAAAGTCACCCTTTGTTTATTAAGTTTTAATCTGTATGTAGATATACAAGTGGATGAGACTAATCAACAAGAGGGATTCTGATTACAGATAAATATATGACAACTCATGACTTTAAATGGTAGTGGATGTAAAATTTACTTAAAAAATTGCATCACATAAATTGTTCATAATTGAAATTACAATTAAATGATCTAGATGGAATTTCAAAACGCATGAATACAAGATACATACACATGCACATATATCGATAAAATACATCTTGCGCCTTTTATAAGTAACTGCATCTACTAAATTAAAAAAAATCCTACTACTTGAAAACTTTAATTACCTTTGGGACAATTTATTCAAATTCCTATTGACATTTTGTAGAGAAGTGGTAATGTTATTGGACAGGGAGAGAGTATCCTTACTCCCGTGGAGGGCTTTGATGGCCTCATTTAAAGCAACAAGGAGAGTCGTGATCTCGGACTGATTGGCAACGAGGGCTTGAAAATAATTGACGTTACTCGCGAGACTCTGTATCTGCTTGTTTTGTTTTTCGATGATGCCAACAAGTGCCTTGTTCTTCGCATAGTACTCGTTCTGCTTATCCTCGATGCTTTGCAGGTACAATTTTTTGCGTTGTCGATTTTCGCGAGCCATCTGAGCGTTTCTATTGAGACACGGGCGCTTCGACGGACCACGACCTCTTCGTCGTGCTCCTGGAAGGTTGGCTGCCATCGCCGCAGCCTGGGCCGGACTTATCTCATCAGTCTCAATTGGGTCGCTCACCAAGTGGGTGGTCTCCACCGAACTCGTGCTTACCCTATCGTTGACTTTAGATCGTTGCAGTTGATGGTGGCGTTTGTAGTCCTCGTAATCCATATGGTTGTCATCATCGTCGCTGAAACTCTCCTCCACGTAGGGTGATACGTCTTCTCGCAACTTCTTGGAAGCTATTTCGTCCTCCTCAACGTACCTCTTTGTGGTGAAAGCAGTTCCAACCTTTTTTTTCCTCAGCTCTTGAGAATTCGTTTTTCTTTTCATTATCCTCCCTGATTTAGTCGTCTTCATGTGTATTGTATAGTACTCGATTAAATAATACCAGTCGCACAATTTAGATACCGTATTTACTAAGTACTTGTGAAACTATTGTATTACAACACGAGCGTAAAAAAAACTAGTTTGATGTTACTCATGAAGCGCCCATTTTGATACTGATTGTGCGCATCAGAGATAAGTGCGCATTAACTGCACTAGCGCATATATATCATCTATCATTAAAGCCGGGCCACCACAAGACGGCGCTGTCAATGAAAAGTTTGCCTATAGTGATCTTACAAAGAAGTGATGGACACAAACGTCCACGCTTACGATTTCCGATTGGCCGAGCCAAGGAATGGGAACAAATGCACGCGTTTTTTCCGACATGTTGATCAAATGTATGAATATAGATATGTTCAAAAGTACAATTTTGACCAACATGGTAGAGCATGTTCTGATCACTTTTTATTGGACCACTATGAATTTGTTTTCAACTTTCATTCTTCCACCACAGCTGTCAAGTCGTAACAAGTAAGTATAGGTAAGTAGTAGACGGCATTCCATTTATCTCATAATAGGATTTGAGGATATCAGAGGAAAATCAGTGCGTTTAGCATTAACTTGACAATACATAAAGCTGTCAACCTTTAGATGTAATGCTCTTTCATACGATACGCCTACAAAAATACCTATTTAAAAATATTATAATTCTGAACAGCCATAACGCAATCTTCTAAACCCATCAATTGGAACGTTACGTGTAGTAAGACCGATAAGTGTATCCGTGTGTTCCAGTAGCGCTCTCCGACAACTTACCGACAACTTAAACATGACGCAGAATATCGTAAGACATAATTAAGTTGTCGGTAAGTTGTCGAAGAGCGTTACTGGAACACACCCTATAACAACTGCGTACTTCTTTCATTTTTTCTTGTGTGTGTACACAACGAAACCTACGCAGTTTTCTGAGGTCTGATCGTCTGAGTTCAATTCGGTTGGGAGTTCGGAGTTGTAACATTTTTGTCACATTTTCGTGTGCAACTCAGGTAATGCGACAGTAAACTCTGGAAGATTTGTTCACCTTACAATCCAGGGACGGTCGGGGACAGTCTGATGGGCGAGTCGGAGACGAAAATGAACAAGTGCTCTAGTGCTCTTCTCCGATCGTCCCCGATCGTCCCTGACCGTACACGATGCGCAGTTGTACATGTTAGGTTAGGTTAATGCTGTATGTAAACAATAGTTTGTAAATAAAGAAGTGCAAATACAAAAAAGTTTGTTTACTTTTTGCATTAACCTCACCTAACGTGTACAACTGCGCATCGTGTACGGTCAGGGACGATCGGGGACGATCGGAGAAGAGCACTTGTTCACTTTCGTCTCCGACTCGCCCAGACTGTCCCCGACCGTCCCTGGATTGTAAGGTGAACAAATCTTCTGTTTCCATTAATCAGTAGACTGGATCAGAACTATAATGAGAGGGCGCTAGGGAGGAGGTCAGAGCCTCGAAACTAAGAGCCCTGATTGGCTGAAGTCTACTTCCCCCCCCCCCTTGGCACCCATTGTTCTGAGCCTCTGAGCTGCCAATTTGTGGTTCTGTTATATTCGTACTCCAATCGTTTCATTATCTGATGGGCTGGGCACCATCACCACTAAATAGTAATAGTAAATACGAGTGATGAGTGATGAGTCAAACGCATTCTGTGTTATAACAACGTTATGTATGTAAATAGCGTAAATAGCAGGTACTATAAAAGAAAAAGTTAGACTCTTTTTCAAAAAGTATTAGTACGTAAGTATATGCGTTCGCAATTTCCATAAACTTTTGTAATGTTTCGGTCCATTGGAAATCTCAAGAGGAAATCCATAATTTTACTTCTACAAAGGATATCAGATGTGTAAGTTTTATTATAGTACCACCTGAATTAACACGAATCAACACCAAGTATCAAATGCGACCGAAAACATTTACAACTTTTTCTGTTCAGAATAAATCCAAGAGGCTCAAGTTTAAACGTTATTTATTTTTTATTTTACGATATCTACTGCAATTTTTGAATTGAAGAGCACCTCTTTAATACTACTTAGTTTCATAAATGCATTTTTATTCTTTAAACTCGGTGTCGCGCTTTTCTTTAGATTTTCTCCAAGTCATATGGGAAATTTTTTTGCTGCGCGTTGGTAGCTTGAGGTAGGGGAATCACCTATTTCTCTGAGTTGTAATAAAAAAGAATTTTATCACCAACTACATATTATACAAATACGTTACTTTAAATGTATTTATTATTTTGTATTATAATCTTAATCAAATAAAGCGATTGAACATTTTTTTAGCAACTATTAAGTTTTAAAAGCAAGTTGTCTCCTGTAACAGTGTGATAAACAATCTAAAAAACATTCAAGTTTAAATAAAAAAAAGGACACTGTTAATATTAGTGTAATTTATATAGCTGTACGTATGTGAACAATCATTTAAGAAATAAATTGATAACGATGTTTTTTATAATTTGAACCATTTGTGCATGAAAATATGATTTTACGAAACAAGTTTTTTAAAGGGTTTGGAAATATCAATACAAAAAAATGCAAACAGACGCAAAAATAAAATTTATTAATTGTTAAGGATATATAAAAGAAAGGTGTTCATAGCTTAGTTGAGAAAAATATAAAGTAATCTTAAACTCTAACGATGCTGCATTAACAGCTCATCAAGTTCTGGCGCCAAAGTATTGTTTGGATCAATATGATGATTTTCACCCCCAATAGAGGCTTTGCACTCGATGCATTTTGATCGTTGCATTGCTCCACCGCATTCACCTATAGCATAGTAGTGACCATTTGGACACTTGAACCAATGCCCCTGTGTGAGACCTACGGCTTTTATGATGTTTTTTCGCTCAATGAGCGATTCACTTTTGTTTCGCTCGTTCAACTCCATAGAATTTGTTATTAATTCTGTTTCAATGTTCTCGGTGAATCTTTTGACATCTGACAATCTATCTATCAAAAGCTCAAATTCTTTCTGATTTTCTGATACTATCCATTGGCTTTCGGAGAATATATTGTAAACTTGAACCTATGAATTGATGGTGTGACGTTGAAATAAACATACAGTAATTATTGTAATGTGAAATCGTGTGTATCCGTATCATATTTTAATAGATGATTATAAATGCAAATACAAAATGGAGATGAGAAAAATTATTTAGACATATTTACCATTAAATGCAAACGTCTGATTTCTAATTGTATATCATCGAGGTTCTGCTTGGAAATCTGTAATTTGTTTGGAAGTGTCCCAACCAAGAACTTAACTTGGTTTTGTATAAACTCCAAAGAGATATCGACTTTCTGAATTTTTTTTAAAACATTTGAGACATCAGTTATAATGTCCAAAATATTTGCAAAGGCATTCATTTCATTGATGCTGAAATACTGCTTCTTTTTATTTTTTACTGGTGCTCCTAATGTCCCCAATGAATGGACATAAATTTGAAAGTAGACAAATTCTGAAAATTATAAATTTTGGGAGAATGAATCTGGAAAACTTTAAAATTTCGAAAATAAAAATGAATGATTAAAAATTTGGTTTACAACGAATTACCTTCGACATATGTATCACTTTCTATCATTTTTAAAGTTTGCAAGTATTCCTTTCGTCTTGCCTCTGTATCTGTTTTATTATTAGAAAACAGTAGGCTTTTTACGGCCATCACATTCTTCAAATCTTTCTTAATTTGATCCATGATTCTCATGCAACTCTTGATGGGAGTCTTACACCGTGGACAAGTTGGTGTTTTTATTTCCACGGGTTCATCATCATTCTGGGATAAAGGTTTGATCCATTCCATTAACCCTTTACTTTCAATGCAATGCTTACAATCCGGTAGAAAAACAAATCTATAACATACAAATAATTTTTTTAAATCTTTTAATTCAGCTATTTTTAAATGCCAGAGTTTACCTTGCATTCGGATCATCTTCGTTTCCTAAAAAGATTTCTGACAATTTTTCATAGTTGCAAACTCTACACAGACGAGGGCAAACATCCCCACAAAAACCAACGCATGGATGGCCACATTTTAACGCGCGCTTACACGGTTCGTTACAAGGTTCTACACCGCACGGTTCATAACATCTTTTGTTACAGGATTGATGTACGCAGCTTCTTCTACACTTTTCCTAAAAATATTTACCAAAGTATTTTCAACAAAAATCAGTATTTTAATAATATTTCCGACGTATATTCATACAATTAAAACTTTGTACTAACTTTGCATGGTACGCATGGTATTCCACATTTTTTACCGCATTTGTTATGAGGACATTTCAGTTCACATTTTTGAGTGCACGGCTGGCACTCTTGATTACAGGCAATTTTACATCTAAAAAAAATTATTTTTTATTGGATGATCTGACAAACATCGCCAATGTTTTAGTTTATAAATCGTTAATATTATATGAATAAACTATTACGCGTGTCCGCAAATAAATATGTTACGGCAGGGCTCGCTACAAGCGACGTGTATGCGGCCTTGGAAACAGCTTCCACAATTTCCTTTACAATTATGAGTGCAAGCTAACTTATAGCCACACGGTTGTTTACAGTACTTCAGGAATTCACGTGACCTGGGATCTGTAAAATGGCAATGAAAATTGTAATAATGTATAAATACGTAAAAACATACTTTACAGATATTTACCATAATTTTTCAAATAGCACGGGACTGACAGAATATGGCCACACATCCCTGGTTCGCTCAGTTGTATCATGACTTTGCAGTTTACCGTACACGACTCTTTACATTTCCTACGGCACTCATGACCGCATGGTAAAGTTTTTTTACAATTTTTGTTACATTTCGATGAAGTAGCCTCTTGACAGCATGAGACTTGTATCAAGTGTCCGCAAGAACTTTCTTTCAATACCTATACTCGTTAGAAAAATGTCAACGGAAAGCAGAAAAATGTGAGTTCAAATTACATTTCAATCAGCTGAAAAATATTATAAATACGTACTTTCTCAGGACAATTTTTACACTCATCTGAACATTTTAGTTGGCATTTATGACCGCAATTCATCTCCCTATCACATTTCCGCTCGCAGTATATTTTTTCCACGTCCAAAGAACACGCCACTTTTTTATAATGATGCCCACATGAACGTACTTTGTCGACAAGCACAGGACAGGGATCGCAATTTTCGAAACATTTTTTTTTGCACAAATGGTCCCCTGTGCAATCTGCATTTTTTTTGGTGCAATCTTTGTAACATTCGTACTAAATAAACATAAAAATTAATTTATTTGTACAATTGTAAGCAACATAATACAAAATAACTAAACTTTTTTATTTTATTTAAAGTACTAATGTTTTGAAATACCTCGAGGTGATCAGGGTCAAAGTGGACGTGACATTTCTTTATACACGCATGTCCACAGTCCAAACGAATTTCACATTCGTAGGTACACTCAACTTTATCGATAGAAACGTAGCATGGCTTTTCCATATTATGATCACAAACTGGTAATGTTACGTCGATCTGAGAGTCACGAATTGTATATTATGTACGTATTTTTCAAATGGACATTTAAACTCAAACAAAATTTCATTTGCAAAAAAATAACAGATTTAATACATATTATGTATTATACAGTATTGTAAATTATTGATGCATGTAAATAAATATACCTTAACAGGGCAAGGAAATGAGTCAGCTTCAAATGAACATGGCATTTTTACGGTGTGTCCGCATTTAAGTGTACGTTCAACATTGACCAAACACGGGACACAGCCTTGCCAACACAATAATGGACAGGGATGATCATTCGGACAACTTTTAACGCACTTTTGCTTGCATCGATACTTAATGTGCTCTCGATCAAGTATATGGCATACATTGGTACACACATGTCCGCACGACAACAATAGATCACATTTTTTTGAACAGCCTCCCTCGGGACTTTGCTTGAAATCTTCCGCTTTTCTTACCTGAAACAAAATACGTCAGCAAAATGCATCAATATATGGGCTATATGTCATTATACTTCATCAATATGAGATATACGTGTTGGAATAATCACCTCAAAAAACTGATCTCGATGGATTTGGCATCTTATTCTTATGTAATCTCCTATAGCGTTCTCATCTTCAAGCACTTTCTTCACCTTGGGCCAAATATCATTATTCACTAGAAGATCGTTCATATTCCCCATTACGTATAGACCCTCGCGGGCACGCGACAGAGCCACGCACACCCGGTTTTCTTCCTTCAAGAATCCAATATTGCCCTGTCCATTATTGCGGACCAAAGATAACAGTATTATTTTACTTTCTTCACCTTGAAAATTGTCCACAGTGGTAACCCTCACGCGTCTTAGGAGTTCATGCTTTTTTGTCTCCTAATTGAAGTATTAAAATATGATACATATTAATATTTAAACAAAGAAATTTTAATGATACTTTTTTTTTTACTTGACTTACATTCATGAAAGCAAATAACTGCCCCGTGTATGTACAAAGAATAGTTATGTCATCCGAGCTGTAGCCTTGCATCAATAAATGCTTGGCAAACGCAGAGAAAAACTCGACCTCGTGTTGGTTTACCCAACTGTCGTCAATATTGTGATTTTCTTCCGTTGACGCGTGATTGAGAAAAAAAAAATTTTTGTCCAATCCTTTGACACGTGGATAGTTCAAAACAGATTCGTGATTGTACAGTTTTTCGTAAATCGGGGACACCAATTTTGCGATTTCAGGGCGCATTCGGTGCTGGTGAGCTAACTGGGGGCACTCACCCCTGATGTTCACCATTCGCTCGAACAACGATACGTTCAAATTGTATTTCGATCCTAGCTCGTGTACAGATGCCTTGGGACGTAATTGCTTGTGATCTCCGATCAATATTACTTGCTTGCAGTGATTTGTCATTGCACACACAACGTGAGCTTCCAAGATTTCGGCAGCCTCTTCTACCAGTACTATACATATTTCAATAAAATATAAAAATTTTTTACAATTGTGCCCATCTAAGGTAATAAAAATCGTACGAAATCATATATGAGGAAATCCAATCCAAATCGACCATTTTACGTCACAAAAAAAAATTAAAATTTTTTTTGAGGCACACCTTTGCAATAAATTTTTTCTTGTTCTATGTACCCTCAGAAATAAGGGAAAAATAGTGTGCAAGAAATTCAGGCTTTGTGACATTGTTTTTCACGACTCTGAAGATTTTAATCATTGATTTTCGAAAAGAGTGCATGATTCCCCGGGACACAGGTACTCTCGCGTACTGTATAGACTACTTGACATGGGCTAATGGGGACTTAGATGTATATCTAAGGTAAATCGGGGGTGCTGAACACAATGAACATGGTTACAAATCGATATCTCGATTACTTTTCGAGATATCGATATAACGAGCAACATAATCTAAAAATTACGGGGCGAAAAAAAATTTTTTTTTTTTTTGAGGCACACCTTTGAACCAAATTTTTTCTTGCTGTATATACCTCCAGAAACAAGGAAAAAATTGTGTACAAGTACTTTGGGCTTTGTGACACAGTGTTTTTTATGGCTCCGAAGGGTATAATACTTGATATTTCAAAAATACTAAGTGAACATGATACGTGCGACTTGTACTGCGTTTTTAAAGCAGCTTGTCGTTTTTATACTATACCATTTTCAATCCGATGGACCATCGACACAGTACAAAAATAAAATTAATTTCTATCTACTGCATTTTTTCTGTAATAAACTAAATCTAACAAGCGCTACATGGAATTTTACAGCTGCTGGTCATGGCAAAAGTATAGCTGATGCGATTGGAGGTACTGTTAAAGAAATGTGTGATAGACATGTTACTTTTGGCCATGATATTTTATGTGCAAATGATATGGTACAATGCATAAATAATTCTAGCAGCAAAATAAATTCATTTTGTATCGATGAAGAAAAAATTAAAATGATTGATAGTCTTGTTCCCGAAGATTTAAAGCCAGTTCCAGCAACTTCAAAAGTTCATCAAGTTATGTGGTCCAAGTCTAACAGTAAAAGTTTGTCATTCAATTATTTATCGTGCTCTCATTGTAATATAGATACTGGTTGCGAACATTATAAGATTGATAGTGTAGTTACATATGATGCGAAAGAAATTGTAAATAATGATGCTAAAAGTAAGAATATTTCACCGTTTCAATCAACAAAAAATTTCAAAGTTGGAGAGTGGGTAGTAGTAATATACGACCAGTGGTACCCTGGTCAACTTGAAAAAATTAATAAAAATGCATTAATTGTTAGATTTTTAGAGAGAACAAAAAAAAATTTTCGTTGGCCAAAGAATAATGACGTTTACACTGTATTTCCAACACAAGTACTGTGCAAAATTGATGAGCCGATTCGTATATCAAAAAAAAATATATTTAAAATAAGTGAGCGAGATTATAATGAAATAACTGCTATGTCTAATTCATGCACAATTTATAATCCCTAGTAATTTATTATAACTTCAATACTTACTGTTAAGTTATGTGAGTTATTATAAGATAATAAATAATTAATCTAAAACTATATGGTAATATTTATTCAAACTTGAAAAAATTGGTAATTTTTTTTTTTTTATGTTTTAACCGAAAACTTGATAAATTCAAGCGTCTTTTTGTTAATTAAGTCCTGTTTAATCTAGTCAGGTTCCTCAAAAAAAGAAACTTATCGTGGTATAGTATAAAAACGACAAGCTGCTTTAAAAACGCAGTACAAGTCGCACGTATCATGTTCACTTAGTATTTTTGAAATATCAAGTATTATACCCTTCGGAGCCATAAAAAACACTGTGTCACAAAGCCCAAAGTACTTGTACACAATTTTTTCCTTGTTTCTGGAGGTATATACAGCAAGAAAAAATTTGGTTCAAAGGTGTGCCTCAAAAAAAAAAAAAATTTTTTTTCGCCCCGTAATTTTTAGATTATGTTGCTCGTTATATCGATATCTCGAAAAGTAATCGAGATATCGATTTGTAACCATGTTCATTGTGTTCAGCACCCCCGATTTACCTTAGATATACATCTAAGTCCCCATTAGCCCATGTCAAGTAGTCTATACAGTACGCGAGAGTACCTGTGTCCCGGGGAATCATGCACTCTTTTCGAAAATCAATGATTAAAATCTTCAGAGTCGTGAAAAACAATGTCACAAAGCCTGAATTTCTTGCACACTATTTTTCCCTTATTTCTGAGGGTACATAGAACAAGAAAAAATTTATTGCAAAGGTGTGCCTCAAAAAAAATTTTAATTTTTTTTTGTGACGTAAAATGGTCGATTTGGATTGGATTTCCTCATATACCTATAGGCGCTCGTAGAGCTCGCAATGAAGATTGTATCTTGGCAGCTCGAGTCGTTGTTAGTCCCACGATTTCGTGTCCTTTCATTACTTCCAAATCTGCCATGTGTTTTATTTCATCTAATCTTACTTTCAAATCATGGTATTTTTCGATCAATCGATCCATCTCGTCATTTACATCATTATAGCTTTTTACAACCCAATCCCAATACGATTGCCATTTCTGGTTATAAGTATAAGACCGACTGTTTTTTCTGATTAATGGGTGATTATTTAACTCTCGCTGGAAAATTTATGAAATCACTTTTAAAAAACGTTTTATTAATAATCCTGCGTAAAAATACATTAAGTCATATTTTGCGTACATCCCAAAAGAACAAAGTTTTTTTTTTAACCATCCATATTTATTATTTTTAACAAATGTGTTTAATAAATTGAGCGATTTATTTTAGAAGAAGTATCGTTTAAAAAATTGATTGAACTTACTTTGATAATTGCTTTGCTCCTCATCAATATTTGTAAATAGTTTTCCCATTCTAAAATGGGACTGAAAGGTAGACAATCATCATCACTCAATTGATTAATATATTCTTGTACTCGGTCAATTTTCTTGTCCATAATACCCAAAGGATCAACTGTCTCGTCTGTAGATATGAAAAATTTTACATCTTGTTCAGATTCTTCTTTTTCAGATCTAATGAGCCACCAAACTAATTCTTCTGTCCCATTAAATGAAAATCTGATTTCATCTTGCAAATCTTCCAAAGATACGATAACGTCTGGCGTAGTTAAATGTTTTTTACGTAAATTTAATGCTTCGATTTCTCTTAGAAGGTCGCCAATCATCCACCTTAGTTGAGACATATAAGAATTTGCAGGGTGTTTATAAAAATCCTTTCGTCGCTCTTTGAGTGAATATGGCTCCAAATTTTCACTTTTCGATCTACTCCCTACTCGAGCTATTGATTTCGTATGGCAAAGAATTCCTTCCAAAAACTGATCCAGTGCGTGATTTGTCAGACAAACAACAACAATGGGGCCATAATGTAGCCATTTGGACTTGTTTTCTAGTAAAGCTTGAACGATTTGTAGCGCCAAAAAAGTTTTTCCAGTCCCTGGGGGTCCTTGAATAATGGCCAACTTTTGAGTAATGGCACTTTTGAAAGCCTGATATTGTGAATCATCTAGTTCCAACTCGGTAGCACTTGGCCAGTCACTGTAGTCATTTGACACGCCTAGTATAAACTTATCTTTGAATTTTAAAAAACCTATGTCCTCTAGATAGGCAGGTTTCTCAAGATCGGTTTGGTTTTTGATGAAGTAATTTTGCATAGGAAAATTTTTTTCATCTATTCTCTGCATCGCTGTCAATACAGCAAAATATGGCTCAAAGTATATTTTTGATTCCAATAAGACCAAATTGCAATTGTACATGTCGGGTCCGATGGAGTTTCCCATGCAAGGAACGATTTTTATGTATCCTGCGACCAGATCTTTTTCATCGCGGTTTCCTACTGTTGCAAAAATAATCGTCTTGAAATTGTCTTTGCTGAGAAGTAAAAGTCCCCCATACGTGAGACGCTTGGAATGCTTCCAGTCAACGAAATCCAATTTACCAAAGTACAGCTGAATGTCCGTATCTAATGCCTTTGCCTCGGAATGTATTAATTTTGCATTTTTATAAACACGCAAGTCATTGTTTCTATGCTTTGGTGCTCCTTGCAAGTACTCTTTGATACCGTTACGTAATGGCCTGACGAAATCTTCTCGTAGCAAACGGAATTGTATGTCCAAGTATTGGTCCACGGAATCGTAAGCATCTTTAACTTTGCAGGCTCTAAGAAATAATTCCTCATTAAATAAATCTTCAACTGTTGGTATCACACTCAGAGTTCTGAAACTTTGAGGTGGTTCAGGCTCATTTTCCTCTCTTTTTTTTTCATCAGTCATTTTGCTTTCGATTCTTTCGATTTCTTTTTCTAAATCGTTTTTCATACTCGATATTCCATCTTTTACTTTGTCTGTTATATTGTACTTTTGACTGATTTCGATGCTTGAAATGATTGCTTCGATTTTTTTTAAAACGGATGTCAATTTGTTACTAGCGGTAAGCGGCATGAGCTCATTGACTTTTTGAAAAAATTCAATTAAATTTGACCAAAATCTAAATAATATAGTGGAAATGTGTAGTACAACATTCAAAAAAATAACTAAAAATACATTGTATATTCAATATGTAAAAAAAAATAATTTTTACCAACCGTGTTACATCTTCATGATATGATTGGTTCCGTAGTTTATCGGATGAACTTTCAAATGGTAAATTTGCCAAATAATTTACCAAAGTGGATAAAAAAGAATCACTGCACGATTGACTCAAGACTCTCGTCATGACTTCTGTAAAATTTGCCTGACAAATGTGAGCCAAAACGTTTACCGTTGTGACCAAAATATCTTGACTCATCTTGCAATCTATAAACTTCTGAAATTCCCTTTCATTTTGAGCTATTTTCATCATAGCTTCTTCGCTGGATACCGAACACAAATTTTTCAAGTATTTCAAATCAAGGTAAGATTTTCCGAGGTGAATAATTTTAATTCCTCTGTCTCGTTTTTGTTCAAAATGTTTACTATAAAACATCAGAGGGTACTTTCAATCATCAAAATGTCAATGGTAAGTGCAATACAACATTTTTTACCTGAAACTGGAACCACTTGGCTTTTGAATTTGTGGTTTGTTGTAATGACTTTGATCTCTACCAGAGCGACTTCTCCAGTTGAAACTATTACCACCTACAATCATTGATACATACGATTAATTTATATTTGTTATGAATTAAATGATGGCATTTTTTCTATATATAAGAAGGACTAATTTAGGGAATTTTTCTGTTATGTCACACATTGAAAACGTCAGCGAATGAAACTACAGTATACCGAGTCCTGGACTCCATTCTGCAACACTATGTTGTTAATTATTGATCACTGGTTCAAAATAGGATTTAAAACAAAGTCGTTGCGCATATACACTTTTACGCAGGAAATAAAATAATATATAGGTAGTATAGTATATTAATGTATGCATGTATACATAAGTACATCATTTTATGTTCAGACTGTTCAGAGCGTTTTACACTATCGATGCATCGTAGGTATACATTTTTTTTTTTTTTTTTTTTTTTTTTTTCAATTATACTGATCTACATCCGGCTCTTTTTTGATAAGGGCACCACTATGGGCACTTAGCACTTGGGTAAGGGACAAGGAAAGGGATGGGAGGCTCTCCCATTACAGGAGGGGGGGGGGTAGGGGGAAATTAGGCAATTTTTGCTGCGAGAAGGTCGCCTAAACCCTCCTCGAGGAGCATTGCGTGGTGAAAAAGGCACATGTGAAAAATCACAGAGGTACTTGCCCGAAAAGTCGCACTGGCCGGGAATCGAACCACGGTCTCCCCCCCGCGTGCCAATCCACGACCTATAGGTAGCCGACTGAGCCACCGCGCGCTCCTTATATATTATAGTTATACACTCTCATATGAGCGCGCGCTGAAACGCCCTCAACGTTTATTGCAAAAAACAATTTTGCCACTCAACTTTTCGACATTTTCTTTTTTGGAGATTGTAGAGGGAGGCTTACAGTTTATGATTATGTGTGTTGTAACATATGAAAATGAGTTTATTTAACACTGTCGTGGAGCTCTGAAAATCGGAGAAGATGCATTTTTTGAAACTTTGGAAATTTTTTACTCGAAAACAGTGGGGCTTAGGTATGTCTTACATTCCAATTAGTTTTTTGTTCCAAATGTGTCAAAGAACCTGAGAATATTTTTTTCAGGTCGAAAAAGCAACTTTGACGAAATTGTTTACAAAAAAATTGTTTAAACAATACCTGACTAAATTCTTGGGTGGCAAGATAAACTTCCAGGTACATTACTATACTTTGAACAAGAGAGCACAAAAAAATTGGGTGCGAATAATTTTTCCCGATTCATCACTGTTTGAGCCCGGTCTATAGCATCCGTCGAATGCTCCAGAGCAAAACAGTTAATTCCCCCTCGTGCCCCCACCTCAATAGTTAAACCTTGCGGTGTTCCTCGGGCCACAATCACAAAGGCAGATAGAGTATAAACACAAGAAGGTATCGATTTCGAACCCAAAACAAAACAACAGACGGTCACCCCCGAAGTCACTGCAGGCCAACTGGTGTGTCTGGTATGTTTATTCGAATTGCATATGCCCGAGCCCTTAAACAATGGTCGCTTGTTTCGAAAATGCAAAGAAAAATTTATACCAATCATAGGTCAGGTACCTATGTGTCTATTGTTTCTCCGATCTTATCAAATTTTTGGACCGAACGGTTATTTTCGAAAGCGTTCATTATTGGCAGACGATACCAAGAATTAATGTAATGGATGAACAATTGATGAAGCATGAACATGAAAGACTTTGAAAAAAAAAAAAAAGCAGCGAACTACTTGTTTGAGCACTTAGTGAACAAAGAAAGTTTCGTAAATTCACTTACACGTTCATACCGGCAGTCCGGGTGCTGTAAAAAACTGACACAGCTTTTAATCACAACGGGAAAAAGCTTTTATTTTGCTTCAAAAAACATTGAAATTCCAATGAAAAACTTTTTCTTTTTATTCATGTTTACTTTTTTATCATAGCACGCACTACATGACGTGTATAAAGTATAAACACCATCATTTAACAAAAATGTGTAAATTAAGTACAACCAAAATAAAATCAACGGAATACATACTACTTTTACTCGTTTCATCGTTCCTTAATCTCCAATTCTCCCTATCCATTTTGGTAAGTATGTAATTTTGCAATTTTACTTCACTTGGTCCTCTACGGGTACACCACAATAAGTACTTACTTTACTTTTATTGTCCTCGACGAAGGAAAACAAAGAACTGACGGCATCGCAGGACAAAAAAATCTACTTATCACCGCGGCTTGCGGCGCTGCACCGCCGTAAATATCACAGAAATATGAGATATACCGCCATACCGGCTCATACTATAGTTGAGTTACCGGCTACCGAACTTGGGGGAAATTCAAATTGGCTATATGGAGCAAGACGCAAAACCCCAGATAACTCGACAAAATTCCATACACCATAACTTGATAAATTAGTCCTAAGCTATTTAATCCAATAACCCAACGCGCCCATAAGCAGTATCACGAGCATTAATAATTAATAAAATACATTCAACAATAACACAAGCGCCAATCACCGCACAACCGGGGGCGCTTTCTGGTTGCTTTGTTAATTGATAAAATAAATAAAGTAACGCAAGCGCCAATCCCCACACAATCCGAGGCGCTAGCTGATCATTTTGAAAATTAATGAAATTTGTGAAGTAATAACACGAATGCCCACCACCATAATACCATCCAGGGCACTTTCTAGTTGTTACTGGTTGCGCTTGATTGGCGCTTGACTTTTTTTATCATTTGATGCTTTTTTCAAACAAATAATGTGACCAGTAAGCGCCCCGAGTTGTGTGGGGATAAGCGCTTGCGTTATTTTATTAGGTTATGTTAGTTATCTGGGGTATTGCGTCTTGCTCCATATAGTCATATTGAATTTCCCTTAAGTTCGGTAGCCACTTTGGCAACGTCACCGGCGTTTTGCATATTTCGCATTTCTTTACACTGTACTAGACATACGTATAAGTACCTACATACCTCTGCGTACGTTATAAAAAAAAAAAAAAAAAAAAAAAAAAAAATTGTATACATACCTCAGTAACAAATATCAGCATATGAAAAATGCAATATATAGATGTAGGAATTTGTGTGGGACTAATGATAAGAACGTAAAACAGTGTAATAGAAGAACATAAAATTCCTAGAATTGCAAGGGGAAACTGATATCGTAATGTATTCTCATTCTCCGTTTGCATGGCCAACTGGTACATACGTACGTAAGTGTATACCTACGTATTTTGTAAAATATTGTAAGCTGACTTTTTTAACAATTCGACCAATAAAATTATATTTAGTGTTAAAAATATTTTTTTCCATATAAATGGCATTAAAGTACATCAGAGTGCTTACCATTTTTTATGCTGAAAAAAAAAATTCACTGAAGTATCCAGGTTTTCCAGAATCCTAGGGTTGAAAGTCCCAAATTAAAAAAAAAAAAAAAAAAT